GAATTTTTTTAAGGTGACTCCCAATGGCAAGTTGTCTTCTTTGTGTCCGTCATCTTCATGTCTTCATAGTTTTGTTTTTATTCCTATCCCCAGGATGAATTTCATCCTTTCATTGAAGCACTTCTGCCCCACGTCCGAGCCTTTGCCTACACGTGGTTCAACCTGCAGGCCCGAAAGCGAAAATACTTCAAGAAACATGAAAAGCGTATGTCAAAAGAAGAAGAGAGAGCCGTGAAGGACGAGTTGCTAAGTGAAAAACCAGAGGTCAAGCAGAAGTGGGCTTCTCGACTTCTGGCCAAGTTACGGAAGGATATCCGACCTGAGTATCGAGAGGACTTTGTTCTTACAGTTACAGGAAAGAAACCTCCATGCTGCGTTCTTTCCAACCCAGACCAGAAAGGCAAGATGCGGAGAATTGACTGCCTCCGCCAGGCAGATAAAGTGTGGAGGTTGGACCTCGTCATGGTGATCTTGTTTAAAGGTATTCCGCTGGAAAGTACTGATGGCGAGCGCCTTGTAAAGTCCCCACAGTGCTCTAACCCAGGGCTCTGCGTCCAGCCCCATCATATAGGGGTTTCTGTTAAGGAACTTGATTTATATTTGGCATACTTTGTGCATGCAGCAGGTAAGTGCAACGGGAGAGAACTCCTTCTGCTTTCTTGTGTCTTTCTTTCCTGATGGCCTCTGTGTATGCTGAACCTCTGTGTATGCTGAACCATTCCTGACCTCCCCACAGTGCAAGTCTAGGGCAGAATGCCAGTAAGGTTTCAGAGGTAGACCAGAGTCAGAGCAGCCTGAAACAAGCCCCTCCTGTCTGATGCGCCCCCCTCATTCAGGGGCAAAAGCAGAGCCCTGAGAGAATTCCCACTCAGGCCACAGCTGGTAAGTAGTGCTGGCAAAGGTGGTGTTCATCTGTGGGTGACATATTAGAGTCACTTTTTAGACCAGTGGTGAGAGAAGCCAAGCCTCACGACACCCCTTGTAATGAAGAATAATTTTTAAACTTGTCTGTGGTCTACTTATAAAGCATTTAGTTTGGTGTTGAGGCAATTTTGTGAGTTGCCTTTCTGTGGGGACTCTTTTAACCTACTGGGGCCCCTTGAACCCCTTGCCAATTAAGAAGTTGGAAGTAAGATTACTATCAAATTGCTAACCATTTCTAAAGGAAAAATAATCACATTAATATAGACGCTTAGTAGCTTTGTATTTAGGAATCCTTAGCATCATCTCAAATAGTCAAGGAATACCAATCAACCAAATTCTGAACAATCAGAGGGGTTAATATTGAAAGTAACCAGCTTGCCCAGTGTATGTGAACACATTGAGAAATTGCTATTGATAATTGATCCACTGAGCTATTTTGATTGTGTGTGTGTGTGTGTGAGAGAGTGTGTGTGGTAACAGGAAGAAAGGGGAAATAAAGAGGGAAAAGGAGATGGGCAGCAAGAGAGAGAGAGATTCATTGTTTTTAAAGACATGTTTTACCAGAGTATGCTTCAGAAATTTGAAGAGCATTCAGGATACAACTGTTGAGGACTGGGTGAAATAATGCAGCTTTACTTTGCTCTTTTCGGCTTGTTTTAGACAAAGGCTCATTGTGTTCTGTGAGAGCTCAGGTCTTGTGTAACTTGTTGACTTTTTATATGTACATATCAGTCTTGCTAGATTGCTTTCATGGCAGTTGCTTAAGGCAGATGGAAGAAAGTTGTAGGAGCCTACCAGTGACTTGTTTTGTTGGAGTTCAAATATATATATATATATATATATGTGTGTATATGTGTGTGTGTGTGTATATATATATATATATTAGTCTTCTTGAAGATACTATTTGCAAAGTCAATACTATTTTGCAAAAGATTTTTTAAAAAATCTAAAAATTTTAACTTTTAAAGAAGCAAGCTAACATTCTATTCTCTATTATTTTTTTTCAATATATGATTTAGAAAGAGAATGTTTACTATTCATCTGTCCTTAAGAAACTGAAGAAATTGACTTTGCAAGCATGTCACATCGTCATTTGTGTTGTGTTGGCAGTGGATAGATGAGTAGTTCTGAGGATGTGCTCTGAAAATGGTTCAAATAATTGAGTTTTTAAAATTATAAGAAGTGCCTGTTGTTTTGGCCAATTCTGGGTAGCAAAAATGAAAAAGCAACGCTTCTCAACCGATTTCTAAACTAGAATAAATGGCCTTTTCTTAACCTTTTTCAACCCTGTTGATCATCTGTTTTGTATGGTAAAAACAAAGTTAAAGATTTTTCTTCATTTGTATGTGCTAAGTGCATGAGTGTACAAAAAATTATAGATGTTTACAGTGCTTTATAAAAGCACTCTTTATAATCTTGTGTTTATCTTTTAGGTATTCAGAAAAATAATTTATGAATTATAGTGAATGTTCTAATTGGGCAACTTAGAAACTTGAGGGTGCCAACAGTTGATGCAGATCGTGTTTATGCTTCAGTCCAGGAAAGGACCGAAATTGAAATGTCTGTGGAGTTTCTGTCCTTTGAGCAGGCCCCATTCTAAGCGTCTGAATTAAGTATTTCCCTGAGATTTAAAGGAATGCAGCTGTTCTGTCTGTTCCCTTTCCCTGCTGTACCTTTAATTGTTGATGGGTTATTGTGAGGTTACTTCCAATCCTTGAGCTATTGCGCTTGCTGGTTGCTGTAGTGCCTGAAGGAGTGATGTTGGTGGAATGACATTAGGAAGGTTGGAAGGTGTCTTAGCATCCTTACAGCTATGAAAGATTTATTGATAGCAGCATGGATCAGACTACCTTTCGGTTTGGTGTTCCTCATGTATCCCAGAATCCCTCTTTAGGCCTGAATACCAGCCAAGTGTCTGGCCATTGGGTTCCCTGAAGACGACAGTCATGGCTGCCTCTATGTGCAGTGTGCAGCAGGGAGTTTGCAAAAAGCAAACAGTAAAGGCCTTTGGTCTGAAAATATTTCAAGTTTGATTTAAGAGACATGGAGACCTCTTATTTGTGGAAGAGAAGCTACTGATAGAAATATGAGGTAGATTGGTTAACTTGCATACAACTGATTTGACAAGCATCTGTTATAATGCTGAAGATTTGTAAACACTAAACAGTGTTTTTTACCTCCTTAAAAGTTTTGAGAACTTGCCAGTATTGGCAAGAAGCAGAGACTCTGAAACGTGCTTCCCAATACATGCCAAAGCCATTGTGGCCTTTTCACCTGTAGAGCGTTTTTCATTTCTTTGAAAATGAATGCCGCCTCCTTTCTCAGTTGCCACGAAATGAGATTTTTCTCCTCTAAAATATGTATAACTACTATTGCTTCATGCCTTGGCTGCTGCTTTAACAAAAAATTAAAATCTTAAAGGGTACTGGAGGCAGATGCATGATCAATTATTTTTTTAAAAGCAGAGATGATTTATTCTAAGGCTTAGAGATGCTAAAATCCAATATATCAGCTGTATTCTTAGTTTCTCTCCTAAATCCTGTGGTTTAGAATTGTGTGAATTTTGTGTCTGGTAAACAGTAACAAGTACAGTGAAATGGTTCTATAGGCCTGAGAATTTCATCTCGTTAAAACCATAAAATAACAAAACCATTTTATGTCCTTAATTTAGTCTCTATTTGAGTTGCCCTTCCCATGTATCATATGACGTCTTGGCGGTATTATGGTATCGTGGCAAATGGTTTTCTTTGTGGGCGTGTAACAGTAAAGCTAATTTATGACCAGCCTTTACCAGATGATCTGTATCAGAATCTACAATATACCCGGCACGTGGCAAGGTCACAATTTAAGTTGTTAAGGTTATAACCTTAGCCACCAGGCATTTGACCTTTTAGATAAAGTTAACCTTTGTTCATTAGTAGGCACTCAACCGAGAACTTTCTAGAGAGTTTTTTCTTTTCTTTTTCTTTTTTCTTTTTTTTTTTTTTGAAACTGCTTCTGTATAGCTTCTGGTAATGTAATCAGTTTTTAGACAGATTCTGTCAAGTTACTTAAATTTTGTGAGAGGTTGGATTTTAAAAGGACTCCTTTCTTGGACAGAGGTAGATTGCTTTATTTATGACATAACTGATAGTTACTGTTTGTGTTTGGTATTATTACCTGGGGTGGGGTAGAGCAAAAGCTTTGAGGTAGTCTTTAAATGTGGTGACATTTAAAAACTAAAATTTAACAAACGGAATTATGTTTAACTCAACCGAGGCCTTGGCTAACTTGCAGGTGGCAGTGAGCCCGCAGCCAAAGCCCACTGAGCCATTGTCACTGTTTAGAGGTGAGGCGTTTTCCAAGATTGCAAGTATTTTTAGCTGTCTTAAAATCCACTCGGAAAGACTGGGTAACCAAAATTGTCAGCAAATTGCTGTTGCTGCTAATCAGCCAATGACAAAGGGAATTGATGCTGTCCTGATGTAACGCAAAGATTTGCTAGTTTTAAGGTGGAAAGTGAACACTTTTGCACAGTAGCCTTTTAGTACAGTGGCTGTTGATTGCTCTGCCTCCACTTGATTTTGCAGAGTCTTGACACGTATGGTCTTAGCATGGCAGAAGTTTGGTATCCCTCCTGTAAACCTGCAAGGCAGTTTTAGTGATCATCACTTCACCTATACCATATTGTTTGTTTGGCTATGCTGTTAGGAATGCTCATTTTGAACCAGACATTGGCAGATTCTGCTGTGATCTGCCCAAAGAGCAATTAGCTACTCCCTCCCCTTCAGGTACATTTTGGTTTTATTTTGGCTTCATGATTTCCATTCCTTCATATAGTACTAGAGAAAGCCGTGATATGCAGATAGACCAGATGGTTATGTTGACAGATTGAGAATTCACTTCCTACTGCTTCAGAGCAGGTGAAGATGGGGAGTGTCTGTGAGTGTGCACTGGGTGTGCATACCCAGGCTGCACCCAGAGTGCAACTTAAGCAGTAGCAATGATTTCTCTTTGCCTACTTTCACTACTGTTTTAAATGTGGAAAAATTACATATAAGATTACCAGTGCATACGGAATAATTTTTAAACAATAAAATGAGTCTTGTTATATTGTTGTAGTTTATAATTTTACGCCAAATTAATTACAACAGTGTGCTAATTTTTATGTAACAGTACATTATTTAGAGGGAGTGCTGGATTTCTAAAATATATTCTGCATGTTTTGCTGGCTGGTATTTTTGTGTATGTGTTTATACTCAAGGTTAGGGCTGAACATTATATAATTAAACTTTTTTTGGGAGCTCAAAAACTCCCTAGCAGAATTATATGCATAGTTTCTGTGATTTGTGTTGATAAAATGTGTTTGGAAAAAGAAGGGATAAAACTAATATGTGATGATTTTTTTTTATAATTAAGAGAGACGTATTATTGATCTGTATCCCAAATTCTAATTTTAACCTTCAGCCAAGCTTACAGTAGATTTTGTGACTGATATACTGTAAATTACTGGTATATGTACACCATTTTAGAAGTGTTTATGTATCTTTTAATTCTATAAAGATAGTACTAGCAACCACCAAACTTCGAGATTAAATATGGCTTTTATAGCCTTGAGTGTGTTCTTCGTAACTTGAGGATAGTAACAATATCCTTTGCCTTGAATGTAGTAACAAAATCCTTTGCTCGGAATGTAGTGAAAAAGCTGGAAGTTCAAAGGCA